CCCGTCTACCACGGCTGGGCATTAGGCCCGTCTACCACGGCTGGGCATTAGGCCCGTCAGCCATGGTAGACAGGCCCAGCACTTTGCCCTGGTGGACGGGCCCAGCACTTTGCCCTGGTGGACGGGCCTAGCGCCCAGCCCTGGTGGACGGGCCCAGCGCCCAGCCCTGGTAGACGGCCCAGCGCCCAGCCCTGGTAGACGGGCCCAGCGCCCAGCCCTGGTAGACGGGCCCAGCCCTGGTAGACGGGCCCAGCGCCCAGCCCTGGTAGACGGCCCAGCGCCCAGCCCTGGTAGACGCGCCCAGCCCTGGTAGACGGGCCCAGCGCCCAGCCCTGGTAGACGGGCCCAGCACTTAGCCGTGGTAGACGGGCTTCAGAATGTAGATCCACCTGAAGCATTTGATATTCATCAGAAGAGGAACAGAGTTGGGGATTATTTGTGGGAGATCTCTCTATTGCACAATTTATGACATAGAAGTAGCTGACCCAACCCAGTGATACCCAATATATCACACTTGGGTGTAAATACTATTTAATTCCTTGTTTTGTCCTCATAATAACAAGCATTGTCTGCCTCACAATGGTGCTCAGTCTTCTCATTGCGATAGTCCAGGGACTTTTCTTTGATCAAAATCAGGAAGAGAAATCCCCGTGGGATTTTTATAAAGGAGTCATCAAATGACGGAGCAATCTGATAGCATGAAGACCATCATTGAAAAGGAAAGTATATCATAAAAGTCACATTCTATTATTGTACCAAATGACGGGTTTTCCAGCTCCGTTTATTTGCACAAATCCGCTCCGGGGAGTAAAGGAGGTGAATTTTTTTGTTTTTCTTTCATTTTGGCGCTCAGTAAAGCGTGAATCCTCGGAGACAAAGCTGACTTCTAAAAAAAAAAAAAAGGTGTATTAGATAGTTGTCACCTAAGTGTTCGCCTTGTGCCAGGACGGGGGGGGGGGGGTTCATGGTTTTTGAGGGTTCAGTTTCTGGCATAACACCCTATGCCTCGCCACAGGCTATCCCCGCTTCAGTCGATCCTGAATACGGCTGCCAGACTCATTCACCTTTCCAACCGCTCTGTATCCGCCACCCCCCCTCTGCCAATCCCTCCACTGGCCTTCACTCAGTGTCCTCCACCCCTCTCTGCCAATCCCTCCACTGGCCTCCACTCAGTGTCCTCCACCCCCTCTCTGCCAATCCCTCCACTGGCCTCCATTCAGTGTCCTCCACCCCCCTCTGCCAATCCCTCCACTGGCCTCCACTCAGTGTCCTCCACCCCCTCTGCCAATCCCTCCACTGGCCTCCACTCAGTGTCCTCCACCCCTCTCTGCCAATCCCTCCACTGGCCTCCACTCAGTGTCCTCCACCCCCCTCTGCCAATCCCTCCACTGGCCTCCACTCAGTGTCCTCCACCCCCCTCTGCCAATCCCTCCACTGGCCTCCACTCAGTGTCCTCCACCCCCCTCTGCCAATCCCTCCACTGGCTTCCGATTGCCCAACGGATCAAATTCAAAATCCTAACACTGACGTACAAAGCCGTCCACCATACTGCCCCGAACTACATCACTGACCTAATATCCAAGTACCGCCCAACACGCACACTCCGCTCCTCACAAGACCTCCTTCTCTCTAGTTCCCTGGTCTCCTCCTCCCATGCCCGCCTCCAGGACTTCTCCAGGGTGTCACCCATCCTCTGGAACTCCCTGTCCCAACCCATCAGATTATCACCTACTCTCCTCTCCTTTAGGTGCACCCTGAAAACCCACCTCTTCAGGGAAGCCTACCCCACCCCCTGCTAACCTGCCGATCTCCTCCACTCTTCCTACCACTCCATCCCCCACAGCTATCTCCTCCTGTACCACCATCCCCCCCTCCTAGATTGTAAGCTCCAAAGAGCAGGGCCCTTGATCCCCTCATGTTTTGCATTGTATTGGTATTGTTCTGTCACATGTTCTGTCCCCCTTTGTAATGTACAGCGCTGAGCCAACTATTGGCGCTTTATAAATACTGTATAATAATAATGTCAGATCGGCTACAGATATCTGGGCAAAAATGGAAGAAATAATTGCAGTACAATCCTACATTACATGCAGATTTCACTTTGTTTATCCCCTTAAAAAGACTGCAAGTACAAAACCATACGTATATACAAAAAATCACCAGCGCCAAAAAAACGTGAAATAATACCTAAATAAATGCTGCTGCTCACCAGTGTGAACACCAAAAAAACATAAATCCTCAAACAGCGCAAATAAAATACAATAAATAATAAAAAAAAACTTATACATAAAAATTAAAAAAATATAAATTTTATATAAATTAAATAGAATAGTCCCACTCCAAATTATTAGGATGAATAAGGTGAGTAAAATATAGTTGAAAAGTCCTTGTCAAGGGTCCTTTGGATAAGGACTGTATTTTATATATATTTCATATATATATATTTCCACTGTATTTTACTCACCTTATTCATCCTAATAATTTGGAGTGGGACTATTCTATTTAATTTATATAAAAATTATATTTTTAAAATTTTTATCTATTATAAGTTGTTGTTTTTTTTTTTTTGATTATTTTTTTATTATTTATTGTATTTTATTTGCGCTGTTTGATGTTTTATACAAAACCATACTTGCTGATCTGCCAGAATTTCACCGTGTTCCTGACAACGTGGTGCCTCTGCTGTACTCAAATCCCAGCCGGCATTCCCAGCCTTGCCTGCTGAACACCAACCACCCCAATTGACGTCCCTTTCCAAATGCAGCGATTGACTTCTCTTCCAGCAAAGCATTTCTGCACGACTCCTGAGAGCCCCTTTCTATGCACTGTGTGTGGTGTAAGGGCTCCTGGGAGATGTAGTGCTGGTGGCATAACAAATCTATAACTACGGTATCAACCAAATAAATATACTATAAACTATTCCCTCTAACATATAAGATCTAACTTTCACCCTTGAAAGTGCAAACCAGCACTAAATACTCCAATATGTTAAATATCCCTAAACACATATAATGAACCCAAACAATCATAAAATAAATCCCAAAAATAACCAATACATATAAACAAAATAATTAAAATACAAAGAAATATATAAAAAATATCAAAAATATTATCCAAATTGTAAGTCACCCGTGTCCAAAAAAATATATAGATATAAAAAATAAAGTCACTCCAAAAACTTTGTGTCCAAAAATATGCAACCTATCAGATCCTTTGGTATCGAGCCCCTCCAATGGCTCCCAAAAGGAAAGAATGTACCTCAAAAGAAAGAAAACTCACATAGTGCATGGTGTATGGGTATGATATTGAATCTATTAAGTTAATGCACTATATGAGTTTTCTTTCTTTTGAGGTACATTCTTTCCTTTCGGGAGCCATTGGAGGGGCTCGATACCAAAGGATCTGATGAGTTGCATATTTTTAGACACAAAGCTAGACGGGCTCAGCGGCCGGCCAAGCTAGGCGGGCTCAGCGGCCGGCCAAGCTAGGCGGGCTCAGCGGCCGGCCAAGCTAGGCGGGCTCAGCGGCCGGCCAAGCTAGGCGGGCTCAGCGGCCGGCCAAGCTAGGCGGGCTCAGCGGCTGGCCGGCCCAAGCTAGGCGGGCTCAGCGGCCGGCCAAGCTAGGCGGGCTCAGCGGCCGGCCAAGCTAGGCGGGCTCAGCGGCCGGCCAAGCTAGGCGGGCTCAGCGGCCGGCCAAGCTAGGCGGGCTCAGCGGCCGGCCAAGCTAGGCGGGCTCAGCGGCCGGCCAAGCTAGGCGGGCTCAGCACCCTGTCATGGTAGATGGGCTTGAGAGTGGAGATCCACCTGAAGCATTTGATATATATCAGAAGAGGAACAGAGTTGGGAATTATGTCTGGGAGATCTCCCCTATTGCACAATTTATGACATATAAGTAGCTTACCCAAAAGGAAAGAATGTACCTCAAAAGAAAGAAAACTCATATAGTGCATGGTATATGGGTATGATATTGAATCTATTAATGCACTATATGAGTTTTCTTTCTTTTTAGGTACATTCTTTCCTTTTGGGAGCCATTGGAGGGGCTCGATACCAAAGGATCTGATAAGTTGCATATTTTTGGACACAAAGTTTTTGGAGTGACTTTATTTTTATATCTATATATTTTTTGGACACGGGTGACTTACAATTTGGATAATATTTTATGTATATTTTTTGTATTTTAATTTTGTTTATATGTAGTGGTTATTTTTGGGATTTATTTTATGATTGTTTGGGTTCATTATATGTGTATTAGCATATGTGTTTAGGGAGATTTATTTAACATATTGGAGTTTTAGTTCTGGTGACAAACCTAAGTCAAAAGGAACTAAATTCCCAGCAGCTGTCCAAGCAAGATGCAACAAAATGTCACAGGAAGTAATAAGAGTTTGGAATGATGAAAACATAAAGAAATGTTCTGATTGTTATATACAGGTTAGGATCCTTTCACACGGGTGGCCAGGGATGGTATAAACAGGTAGTGGTTCTGGGGGGGGGGGGGGGGGATTACCAGCCCCTGGACACCCACCTACAAACAGACATGGTGCTACTCCGATGAGTACACATTGCAGCAATCACAATGCTTTTCACTGCCTGCCAAGTGAATAGAGCCGCGTCACAACATGCGGCTCACATTTCCAGTCCAAAGGTCCAAAAACTTCCGTTTAGCGATTTTAGAAAAAAATACGGCGTCAGGACGTGCCGACGTCACCTCCTGGTTGTTTGCAAACCTTGTTTCACCGTTCCCTCTGCAAGGTGATCAAGGGGGGATGGGGGAACCTTCACTAGTGTGGTAGGAGCCTACGAGGTAGCCACAGGTTTAGCTGGTTGATGAATCGGAAAACCTTTATCTGAAGTCTAGGTTGATGAAATTCCCAGCCGGATTCTGCTTTCTTCTGACTCTCTCTTGAATTGCATATCATTTTGCTCACCCTGGAATGTACTAAGAAACCAATCTAAGCATACACATGACCTCATCTTCCGTATTTTGTGCCCAACAAGGTGAGGAGACCAGGCCAGGCTTCGACATGGACCCCCTGCACTGGAAAATGGCTGAACTGCATGTCCAGAGCTCCGACCAGCTCTTGCAGGATGAAGAACTGGCTCGCCGACTGCAGGAAGAAGAGGAGAAACGCGTAGTAAGTGAACGTACTTCATCCAACCAATCCCTTCCCGAGAAACCAGTCATTGACTTCCTTTACTTTCAATATCTTCTACAGGCAGAACTGAAACGGCGCGATCAGCACGAGGACTTCCGGGCAGCTCAGGTCGCACAGGATGAAGTAAGAACCATTTTATCGTTACAAATGATCCAGGCCTTGGTCGTGGTTGCGTTTTAGGATGACCGCACTCGGATTGTGCAACCTTCCACGAATCGGCTATTTATATGGTCATTTTAGCTCATTTGAACCAAACATTTTGCGAATGGAAATTGCAAATATGATTGTATCTGCCAGAAACTGAGCAATCTAAACCAGTTTTTGTGGAAAGCCATTTGGGACTTTAAGGCCTGGTTTGATCAGAGCGATTCCAATCTTATTGGAAGTTTTTGTGGTTTGGTGGAAATCTCCATTTTGTGTACTAAATTTGAAATGTATAGCAGGAAACTGGATTTATAAAAGGTTCATGACTGCTGGAAGTCCTGGCCTACAGTGGTGATACATTTCTTTTCTTTCATCCTTTGAGGGACACATGAAGATCAAGCTATGCAGTGCACACGCAAGAAGAAGGACTACACGGAAGGCTGCATGTTGGAGGACTGGTTCTGTTTCTTGGGTGTGCATTGCATAGCTTGATCAACCTACAAAGGGTCTGACAAACCAAAGTTTGCTGAGACTGAGAAATATGAGGGACACAGGAGGGTTTAGCTTTCAGGTTACACCACCGCCAACAAGCACACTGGAAAGACACTGGAAACCAGCCTGTAGGCCAGCCCAGGATAACCCCTTCCACCGCCTGCTTGGCTAATGTCCTAGGAGGATTGGACATCTTTTCTTCAGCTCTGCTCTTTTGCTAGTACTTTTGTTTTCTTCTTCAACTTTTCTTCAGCCAAGACTCTTCTTTACCTTTCTACTACTGCATGTCTCCATGATTGCAGCTCTCCAATGTGGTCATCCTCAGCCTGGCTCTTGGAGTACCACGTACTGACCACACTGGACTGGACATCGCAGGGATAGCCTGGAAGTGACCTTTGGGCGCTGGGTTATGTGTGGGACACTTTCCAGACTCTTTCCTACTTTGCAGGTCCAGAGCTGCTGGAAGTGCTTCAGCTTACTTAGTGGGCAGGCTGGTCATAATGAGCACCAGGAGCTTCCACATATACATTAGTAGATGGACACCGTTTATTCCTTCCAGCCGGGTCCTACTGCAGAAGGGGTTTGCAGTGTGGGACTGAGTGCTGACAACATCCTCTGGGTGGAGTGTCCTGAGCACGCTGTCCGTGCTCTTTTCCACCATATAGTAAGGAAGCATCTTCCTGCTTCTGCTCTCAAACAGCCACATTGGTGCTTCAACCTACAATTCGACCCAGGTGTCCCCTTTCGTCATCTGCCTTTCACTTGCTAGGTACCAGCTGTCCAGGTTTTGTGAGTACCTGTGGCCTCTACCTTGAGCCCATACGTTCCCTTAACGCAATGTGGTCACAACATGTCTACTTATAGACACAGAAAGGACAGTCCCTATGTTTTAGTAGCCCCCAGCTATCACCCTAATGGCTCTGGGGCTGCTTGCAGTGTGCCTACTGATGGTGCCCAGCATCTGCAGCCCAGAGTCATGTTGCCCTCTGCTCCTTGAAATGATCCCATCCTTGGAGTCCTCTTTGGATCCACCAGGTGTGGCCTTTTCTTCTGTCCTTTCTGCTTAGGTTCAGACTTAATGGCCCAAGTCACCTGGTTATTTGCTGATGCTGATCGCAGAGGGCCACAATCACACTACCATGCTCTCTCCTGCAGATTCTAGATCTGACTTTCCTGCAGCCTTGGCAGCTTACAGTCCATTGGCCGCAGAGACTTATTCTGAGTCGTTCCAGTCCTTAACTGATAAAATTACCTCTGAAGAACTACCGTTTACTGATGTTACCCCCCAAATTAAAGGGGACTGTTGCAGCATTTACTGTGCAGATTATACCACTGTGAAACCAGAGGATCAGCCTGTTGCTTCTGCCAGGGCACTTTCCAGTCTGGGGTTGTTAAAACTCCTTTTATATGAAGAGTAGATGAATCCTGATAAACTCTTTATTCCCCCCAGTATTTCGTGAGAATTTTGTGCAGAAGTAGACTACCCTCACTGTGGACCCGGTAGTATCCAACCATACCAAGGCACCATTCCAGTAAAAGATGCATCTGCAGGTCCCAGTAGCGGTGTGGGATTTACTCCTGCCTGTTAACCTTTAGCAAACCTGTTTGAGATCCCTTATGGGATATCTGTCACATCTTGGATCTCAAAGCTCTGTTTGTCTTCTTTCGAACCCAGAAACTTTGCATGGAATCTACCAAATTGGCTATCTGTGACATCAAGGAGACTTTCTAGCTGCTGTGGACATCAAGGACATGTATCTCTCCAGCACACCGATCCCTACATTCTTGCTGTTGCTCGGCCTTGCCCTTCATTATCCTGTCTTTGGTGTTCACCAAGGTCCTAGCCCCATTATTGGCCCTGCTGTGCTCTTGAGGTATTCCCATTGTGAGATACTTAGATGACCTGTTGAGGAAACAGTTGGCAGAGGCTCTGTTATCTAAATTTGGTTCTTTCTGCACTTTGGAAACTGCCAGCTGAATGCATTGGGGACTTCCAGTCTCTACTCTGACTCGCAAGATGGAATTCCTTGTGGCCATCACCTCTGTGAGGTAAGTGTCTGAACTAGAGGTGTTATCTGCAAGGAACCCGGCTGGATTTGCATAGAGATAAAAGAATGATTTGGCTCCAGACTTCCCTTTTCACTTCCCCTTTTTGGGAGTTTTCTTCCTTTCACCTCCACCGGGAACACCGTTTTCTGTTCCTCTGACTGGCTCCAGTTCATCTAAAGGTAATTTCCCACCATGATCCTAATGAGGTACAGACCAAGACTGTCCTTCAGCCTCTCCTTCTCTGAAATTGACCCCAGAACTGCGCTCTGATGATTAGTTCCACCATCTTTAGGTGGCTCAGGTAGAACATTTTTTAAGTTTATGGTCTCAAGTATTGGGTTCCACCCTCCCCCCTTGAACATGTAGGATGATGTAAAGCAACCCATAGATTATGCAATTTTCCTTCCTTCCACCATGGATGGAAGGAAAGAAATTTTTGATTCCCCCAACAACACATTTAGAGATCACATGAAAAAAATCTCACAGGCTGGTTGTACGGAACTAAATTGATGGATCAACTTCAGTATAGTCTTCCCATAGATGGATTGAATCTCAGGCAATGCCTGCTGAACCTTCCCCCTTCCCTTCCTCCCTTCCCCCCTTCCCTTCCTCCCTTCCCCCTTCCCTTCCTCCCTTCCCCCTTCCCTTCCTCCCTTCCCCCTTCCTCCCTTCCCCCTTCCTCCCTTCCCCCTTCCTCCCTTCCCCCTTCCCCCCTTCCTTCCCCCCTTCCCCCTCCCCTCCCCTCCCTCCCTTCCCCCTCCCCCCTTCCCCCTTCCCTCCCTCCTCCCCTCCCTCCCTTCCCCCTTCCCTTCCTCCCCTCCCTCCCTTCCCCCTTCCTCCCCTCCCTCCCTCCCCCCTTCCCTTCCTCCCCCCTTCCCCTTCCCCCCCCCCTTCCCTTCCTCCCCTCTCTCTCTTCCCCCTTCCTTCCCTCCCTCCCTTCCCCCTTCCTCCCCTCCCCTCCCTTCCCCCTTCCTCCCCCCCCTCCCTTCCCCCTTCCTCCCCTCCCTCCCTTCCCCCTTCCTCCCCCCCTTCCCCCTTCCTCCCCTCCTTCCCCCTTCCTCCCCTCCTTCCCCCTTCCTCCCCTCCTTCCCCCTTCCTCCCCTCCCTCCCTTCCCCCTTCCTCCCCTCGTCCTCCCTTCCCCCCCTTCCTCCCCCTCCCCTCCCTCCCCTTCCCCCTTCCTCCCCTCCCTTCCCCTTCCCCCTTCCTCCCCCCCTTCCCCCTTCCTCCTTCCTCCCCCCTCTCCCCTTCCCCCTTCCTCCCCCCTCTCCCTTCCCCCCTTCCTCCCCTCTCTCCCTTCCCCCTTCCTCCCCTCTCTCCCTTCCCCCTTCCTCCCCTCTCTCCCTTCCCCCTTCCTCCCCCTTCCCCCTTCCTCCCCTCTCTCCCTTCCCTTCCTCCCCTCCCTTCCCCCTTCCCTTCCTCCTTCCCTTCCTCCCCTCCCTCCCTCTCTCCCTTCCCTTCCTCCCCTCTCTCCCCTTCCCCCTTCCTCCCCTCCCTCCCTTCCCCCTTCCTCCCCTCCCTCTCTTTTCCCCCTTCCTCCCCTCCCTCCCTTCCCCCTTCCTCCCCCCCTCCCTCCCTTCCCCCTTCCTCCCCCCCTTCCCCCTTCCTCCCCTCCCTCCCTTCCCCCTTCCTCCCCCCCTTCCCCCTTCCTCCCCCCTTCCTCCCCTCCCTCCCTTCCCCCTTCCTCCCCTCCCTCCCTTCCCCCTTCCCTCCCCTCCCTCCCTTCCCCCTTCCTCTCCCTCCCCCTTCCTCCCCCCCTCTCCCTTCCCCCTTCCTCCCCTCTCTCCCTTCCCCCTTCCTCCCCTCTCTCCCTTCCCCCTTCCTCCCCTCTCTCCCTTCCCCCTTCCCTTCCTCCCCTCCCTCCCTCTCTCCCTTCCCTTCCTCCCCTCTCTCCCTTCCCCCTTCCTCCCCTCCCTCCCTTCCCCCTTCCTCCCCTCCCTCTCTTCCCCCTTCCTCCCCCTCCCTCCCTTCCCCCTTCCTCCCCCCTTCCTCCCCTCCCTCCCTTCCCCCTTCCTCCCCCCCTTCCCCCTTCCTCCCCCCTTCCTCCCCTCCCTCCCTTCCCCCTTCCTCCCCTCCCTCCCTTCCCCCTTCCTCCCCTCCCTCCCTTCCCCCTTCCTCCCCTCCCTCCCTTCCCCCTTCCTCCCCTCCCTCCCTTCCCCCTTCCTCTCCCTTCCCCCTTCCTCCCCCCTCTCCCTTCCCCCTTCCTCCCCTCTCTCCCTTCCCCCTTCCTCCCCTCTCTCCCTTCCCCCTTCCTCCCCTCTCTCCCTTCCCCCTTCCCCCTTCCTCCCCTCCCTCCCTTCCCCCTTCCCTTCCTCCTTCCCTTCCTCCCCTCCCTCCCTCTCCCTTCCTCCCCCCTTCCCTTCCTCCCCTCCCTCCCTCCCTTGCCCCTCCCTCCCTTGCCCCTCCCTCCCTTCCCCCCCTCCCTCCCCTCCCTCCCTTCCCCCATCCCTCCCCTCCCTCCCTTCCCCCATCCCTCCCCTCCCTCCCTTCCCCCATCCCTCCCCTCCCTCCCTTCCCCCATCCCTCCCCTCCCTCCCTTCCCCCATCCCTCCCTTCCTCCCCTCCCTCCCTCCCTTCCTCCCCTCCCTCCCTCCCCTCCCTCCCTTCCCCACCTCCCTCCCTTCCCCACCTTTAAATGAATCTTCTTCCTTTGATTTCTTTCCCAGGATGCACTGGTGAACTACAACAATGGGCAAATGTTAGGTGCGTTCTGATTGGATGCCCGATACCTCCTGCAGTAATCCTCTCATATGTTTTCCATTAGGAGATTGCAAAGTACATCCAGCGGCAGGAGCTGAAAGCCCATCGGAGGTCGGAGGAGCTGGACCTGCCGGGGGACAGTGATGATGACGGCAGTATTTGTAGCTTCTCCGACAGGAAGAGCCTGGGAATAAAGGTAAAGTCTCATCACGCAGTAATTGTCAGGGCCGGCTGACACCATACAAAGTCCAACCGCTGCTCTTCTGTAGAATTCCTTGTGATGCTGTAACCGGGGGCCATGAGAGAAGGGTGGGCTGCTGTGACTGGGGGCCATGACGGAAGGGTGGGCTGCTGCCACCGGGGGCCATGATGGAAGGGTGGGCTGCTGTGACTGGGGACCATGAAGGAAGGGTGGGCTGCTGCGACCGGGGGCCATGACAGAAGGGTGGGCTGCTGCGAACGGGGGGCCATGACAGAAGGGTGGGCTGCTGCGACTGGGGACCATGAAGGAAGGGTGGGCTGCTGCCACCGGGGGCCATGACGGAAGGGTGGGATGCTGCGACCGGGGGCCATGATGGAAGGGTGGGCTGCTGTGACTGGGGACCTTGACGGAAGGGTGGGATGCTGCGACCGGGGGCCATGACCGAAGGGTGGGCTGCTGCCACTGGGGGGCCATGAAAGAAGGGTGGGCTGCTGCCTACCGGGGGCCATGACGGAAGGGTGGGCTGCTGTGAGTGGGGGCCATAATGGAAGGGTGGGCTGCTGAGACTGTGGGCCATGATGGAAGGGTTGGTCTGCTGCCATCGGGGGCCATGAGGAAAGGGTTGGTCTGCTGCCACCGGGGGCCATGACGGAAGGGTTGGTCTGCTGCCACCGAGGGCCATGACGGAAGGGTGGGCTGCTGCCACCGAGGGCCATGACGGAAGGGTGGGCTGCTGCCACGGGGGCCATGACGGAAGGGTGGGCTGCTGCCACCGGGTGCCATGACGGAAGGGTGGGCTGCTGCCACTGGGGGCCATGACGAAACAACGTCACATCTTTAGTATTAGGGGGAGAAATAGTTGGTGCCAGAGGGAGGAATTATGCCCCATCGTTGGTGTCAGTGGGAGGAATTGTGCCCCATCGTTGGTGTCAGTGGGAGGAATAGTGCCCCATCATTGGTGTCAGTGGGAGGAATAGTGCCCCATCATTGGTGTCAGTGGGAGGAATAGTGCCCCATCATTGGTGTCAGTGGGAGGAATAGTGCCCCATCATTGGTGTCAGTGGGAGGAATAGTGCCCCATCATTGGTGTCAGTGGGAGGAATTGTGCCCCATTGTTGGTGTAAGTGGGAGGAATTGTGCCCCATCGTTGGTGTCAGTGAGAGGAATTGTGCCCCATCTTTGGTGTCAGTGGGAGGAATAGTGCCCCATCATTGGTGTCAGTGGGAGGAATAGTGCCCCATCATTGGTGTCAGTGGGAGGAATAGTGCCCCATCATTGGTGTCAGTGGGCGGAATAGTGCCCCATCGTTGGTGTCAGTGGGAGGAATAGTGCCCCATTGTTGGTGTCAGTGGGAGGAATAGTGCCCCATTGTTGGTGTCAGTGGGAGGAATAGTGCCCCATTGTTGGTGTCAGTGGGAGGAATAGTGCCCCATTGTTGGTGTAAGTGGGAGGAATAGTGTCCCATCATTGGTGTCAGTGGGGGGAATAGTGCCCCATTGTTGGTGTCAGTGGGAGGAATAGTGCCCCATTGTTGGTGTCAGTGGGAAGAATAGTGCCCCCCCCTCGTTGGTGTCAGTGGAAGGAGTAGTGACCCATTGTTGGTGTCAGTGGGAGGCATAGTGCCTTGCATCATTCAGAGGAATAGTGCCCCATTGTTGGTGTCATTGGGAGGAATAGTGCCCCATTGCTGGTGTCAGTGGGAGGATTAGTGCCCCATTGTTGGTGTCAGTGGGAGGAATAGTGTCTTGTATCATTCAGAGGAATAGTGCCCCAAGTGCCGGTTAGAGGCTGGCAAAGGGCCACATGCGGCCCCCAGGGCACAGTTTGGAGACCTCTGCCCATCAGGTAACAGTTTCAGCCCATATTATTTAGCTGTGGCCCACTGTTGTCACCATCTGGAAACCCACCCTGAGAAATGACATGCAGCCATTGCTGGGGGCCGTGTCTGGTGTCACTCAGTGCTGCCTCTTTGCATTGGATGAAGACAAGTTGTTGTTTTGTTCTCACATACAGTTGTGTTCAGAATAATATCCGTGTGATGATAAAAGTGACTAAAGCTGCAAATCCTTCTAATCCTTTTCTTTCCATCCACACAAATGCATTGGGAACACGACACATTCTATTCCAAATCACAACATGAAGAAAAATACATCAAATTTGTGTTGTTCCTCTAAAAAAATGGAAGAAAAGTGAATATTAGACGGTTCAAAAAAATGGCCGTGTTTGTATTCTTCTTTACAAACTCCAACATTCACTATATAAACTGAGAAATGTTTGAAGATTTTGCTTTCCTTTGAATGACTTCATGAATATTTGGTTGTAGTCGCACTGTTTCTGAGAACTGCTGTACATCTGTGTTGCATGGAGTCCCCCAACTTCTGGCCCCTGTGATCAGGTATTCCAGCCCAGGATGATTGGACCACATTCCACAGTTCTTCTCGATTTCTTGGTTTGGCCTCAGAAAACGGCATTTTTGATGTCACCCCACAAGTGTTCTATTGGATGAAGATCCGGGTATTGGGCTGGCCACTCCATAACGTCCATCTTGTTGGTCTGGAACCAAGATGTTGTGCGTTTACTGGTGTGTTTGGGGTCGTTGTCTTGTTGGAACCCCCATTTCAAGGGCATTTCCTCTTCAGCATAAGGCAGCATGACCTCTTCAAGTATTCTGATGGATTCAAACTGATCCATGATCCCTGGTATGCGATAAATAGGCCCAACACCGTAGTATGAGAAACATCCCCATATCATGATGCTTGCACCACCATGCTTCACAGTCTTCACAGTGTACTGTGGCTTGAATTCAGTGTTTGGGGGTCGTCTGACAAACTGTCTCCGCCCACTAGACCCAAAAAGAACAATCTTCCTTCCATCAGCCCACAAAATGTTGCCCCATTTCTCTTTAGGCCAGTCAATGTGCTCTTTGGCAGATTGTAACCTCTTCAGCACACGTCTTTTTCCCAACAGTGGGACTTTGCGGGGACTTCTTGCAGATAGCTTGGCTTCACATCGGCGTCTTCTAATTGTAACAGTCCTCACAGGGAACGTCACACCTTCTTTCATCTTCCTGGAGCTGATTGTTGGCTGAGTCCTCACAGGGAACGTCACACCTTCTTTCATCTTCCTGGAGCTGATTGTTGGCTGAGTCCTCACAGGGAACGTCACACCTTCTTTCATCTTCCTGGAGCTGATTGTTGGCTGAGTCCGCCCCATTTTGGCTATTCTTCTATCCATTCCAATGGCAGTTTTTCGCTTTCTTCAACGTCTTTCAGGTTTTGGTTGCCATTTTAAAGCATTTGCCATCATTTTAGCTGAGCAGCCGATCATTTACTTCTTCTTTATATGTTCTCCCCTCTCCAATCAACTTTGTAATCAAGGTACGCTGTTCTTCTGAACAATGTCTGGAACGACCCATTTTCCTCAGAATTTCAGAGAGAAATGCACTGTAACCAGCATGTCCAACATTTGCTGCCTTCCTTCCTTAAATAAGGGCAATAATTGCCACCTGTTTATCAAAGAATGAATGACCTCACTAATAGAACTCCACACGGCTATTATTGTGAACACGCCCCTTTCAATGAGTGATTCAATGACACAGAATCAGCAGCACGCATGTCATGACTGTCGGGTCTGTTGGATTTCTATGACTCTACTACACCTGCTAGGAATTATTTGCCATGTAGAAATATCATTTCCACCAAAAACAGAGATTGATCCGGTTAGTGATGTCTGACGGCTAGTATTTTCAACACAACTGTAATAAAATGGCAGTTAGTTCTCATGTCATGCAGTTAGTTCTCGTGTCCCGCAGTTAGTTCTCGTGTCCCGCAGTTAGTTCTCGTGTCCCGCAGTTAGTTCTCGTGTCACGCAGTTAGTTCTCGTGTCACGCAGTTAGTTCTCGTGTCCCGCAGTTAGTTCTGATGTCACGCAGTTAGTTCTCCGTGTCGTGCAGTTAGTTCTCGTGTCCCGCAGTTAGTTCTGATGTCACGCAGTTAGTTCTCGTGTCGTGCAGTTAGTTCTCGTGTCCCGCAGTTAGTTTCTCGTGTCCCGCAGTTAGTTCTCGTGTCACGCAGTTAGTTCTCGTGTCCCGCAGTTAGTTCTCGTGTCCCGCAGTTAGTTCTCGTGTCCCGCAGTTAGTTCTCGTGTCCCGCAGTTAGTTCTCGTGTCCCGCAGTTAGTTCTCACGTTGTCGTGGATCTGCAGGTTGAGGTTCTGGCTCTGTAGCCTTCAGGCCGGGCGTTGTATGAGCACCATGTGACCACCCGGTGCACTCTGCAAGGCCTGCTCACCTCAGACACCTTGCTGTTGGTTTTTCTGGCCGCCATCACCAGTCCTGCGGCCGGCTCATCTCAGTTACCAGAAGGCGCCGTTCTAGAACTTCCTCTGAAGTTGCGTCAGCCGCGGCCATTTCTAGATATAGAGCTGCGATTTCTGGAAGAGATTTCCTCTTTGCTGGGTAATGAGCAACCACAGCGATCAGCTGATACAGAGCAGGAAGCCGAACGGCGGCTCATCGGGGGGAGCGCAGCACCATCCATCCTTTCCTCTGATCATCACTGTGAGGCTTCAAAAATGAACCCCCAACAAACATCGATGATTTCCTCCGGAGTCACTCGGATGGCATTGTGATAACTGTCAGCGTGCAGCCAGATTCTGCTTCTGTGTGCGTCCGTTCCTGATTCCTCTTCTGTGTGCGTCCATTCCTGATTCCGCTTCTGTGTGCGTCCATTCCTGATTCCGCTTCTGTGTGCGTCCATTCCTGATTCCGCTTCTGTGTGCGTCCATTCCTGATTCCGCTTCTGTGTGCGTCCATTCCTGATTCCGCTTCTGTGTGCGTCCATTCCTGATTCCTCTTCTGTGTGCGTCCATTCCTGATTCCGCTTCTGTGTGCGTCCATTCCTGATTCCGCTTCTGTGTGCGTCCATTCCTGATTCCTCTTCTGTGTGCGTCCATTCCTGATTCCTCTTCTGTGTGCGTCCATTCCTGATTCCTCTTCTGTGTGCGTCCATTCCTGATTCCTCTTCTGTGTGCGTCCATTCCTGATTCCTCTTCTGTGTGCGTCCATTCCTGATTCCTCTTCTGTGTGCGTCCATTCCTGATTCCTCTTCTGTGTGCGTCCATTCCTGATTCCTCTTCTGTGTGCGTCCATTCCTGATTCCGCTTCTGTGTGCGTCCATTCCTGATTCCTCTGCTGTGTGCGTCCATTCCTGATTCCTCTGCTGTGTGCGTCCATTCCTGATTCCTCTTCTGTGTGCGTCCATTCCTGATTCCTCTTCTGTGTGCGTCCATTCCTGATTCCTCTGCTGTGTGCGTCCATTCCTGATTCCTCTGCTGTGTGCGTCCATTCCTGATTCCTCTGCTGTGTGCGTCCATTCCTGATTCCTCTTCTGTGTGCGTCCATTCCTGATTCCTCTTCTGTGTGCGTCCATTCCTGATTCCTCTTCTCTGTGTGCGTCCATTCCTGATTCCTCTGCTGTGTGCGTCCATTCCTGATTCCTCTGCTGTGTGCGTCCATTCCTGATTCCTCTTCTGTGTGCGTCCATTCCTGATTCCTCTTCTGTGTGCGTCCATTCCTGATTCCTCTTCTGTGTGCGTCCATTCCCGATTCCTCTTCTGTGTGCGTCCATTCCCGATTCCTCTTCTGTGTGCGTCCATTCCCGATTCCTCTTCTGTGTGCGTCCATTCCCGATTCCTCTTCTGTGTGCGTCCATTCCCGATTCCGCTTCTGTGTGCGTCCATTCCCGATTCCTCTTCTGTGTGCGTCCATTCCTGATTCCTCTTCTGTGTGCGTCCATTCCCGATTCCTCTGCTGTGTGCGTCCATTCCTGATTCCGCTTCTGTGTGCGTCCATTCCCGATTCCTCTTCTGTGTGCGTCCATTCCCGATTCCGCTTCTGTGTGCGTCCATTCCCGATTCCTCTTCTGTGTGCGTCCATTCCTGATTCCGCTTCTGTGTGCGTCCATTCCTGATTCCGCTTCTGTGTGCGTCCATTCCTGATTCCGCTTCTGTGTGCGTCCATTCCTGATTCCTCTGCTGTGTGCGTCCATTCCTGATTCCTCTTCTGTGTGCGTCCATTCCTGATTCCTCTGCTGTGTGTGTCCATTCCTGATTCCGCTTCTGTGTGCGTCCATTCCTGATTCCTCTGCTGTGTGCGTCCATTCCTGATTCCTCTGCTGTGTGCGTCCATTCCTGATTCCTCTTCTGTGTGCGTCCATTCCTGATTCCTCTTCTGTGTGCGTCCATTCCTGATTCCTCTTCTGTGTGCGTCCATTCCTGATTCCGCTTCTGTGTGCATCCATTCCTGATTCCTCTTCTGTGTGCGTCCATTCCTGATTCCTCTTCTGTGTGCGTCCATTCCTGATTCCGCTTCTGTGTGCGTCCATTCCTGATTCCGCTTCTGTGTGCGTCCATTCCTGATTCCTCTTCTGTGTGCGTCCATTCCTGATTCCTCTGCTGTGTGCGTCCATTCCTGATTCTCCGCAGATCTGAGGAGGTTGGCAGAAAATAACTCGTCTCCCGGATTTTGAACTGTATTGTCAGAGAGCTGAACCAGTTTCGGATGCCGTGCGCCAAATAATCGTCATCGAATTACAAATGGTGTGCAGTACATCCAGTCCTCCTGCCCCGCCCTGCAGCACCCCTCGTCCTACTTACTGGAGAGCCTCCATTCCTGAAATTACAGCCAGGAGTTGCTTTATAAATGAAGCCGTTCTAGTAGATGCTGCCATCAAGAAAAGACCACCTGACACATTGTTTATAAACATCGATCAGACGGGAGATGGAGAGATACAAAGTAACATTGTTTATAAACATCGATCAGACGGGAGATGGAGAGATACAAAGTAACATTGTTTATAAACATCGATCAGACGGGAGATAGAGATACAAAGTAACATTGTTTATAAACATCGATCAGACGGGAGATAGAGAGACACAAAGTAACATTGTTTATAAACATCGATCAGACGGGAGATGGAGAGATACAAAGTAACATTGTTTATAAACATCGATTAGATGAGAGATACAAAGTAACATTGTTTATAAACATCGATCAGACGGGAGATAGAGAGATACAAAGTAACATTGTTTATAAACATCGATTAGATGAGAGATACAAAGTAACATTGTTTATAAACATCGATCAGACGGGAGATAGAGAGATACAAAGTAACATTGTTTATAAACATCGATTAGATGAGAGATACAAAGTAACATTGTTTATTAATAGTGATCAGAATGGATTTAGAGAGGTACAGAGTCCCCATTGGAAGCTTGTATGACAGGGTGACAACGCATGAGCACAGTTGGGACAAATGCATAGAGCGTTGTCACCCTATAACAGGAAGTGCCTGAACAAGGACTTTCATGGCAGGAACACCAGGGATTATAATGAGAAGTGCCGATTTAAAAATGTTTAAAAGAACGACTTTTGAGACCACAGGAATATGTTAGAGAGTCCATGAAACGTGAACCATAGTAGTAGGTGGGGCGCGGGACAGTCGGGTTCTCAGTGTTTCCGGAAGTTTTCTTTTCCTGAAATAATTGTAATTGACTTTATGTGCCTCTGAAATGTCTGGGAATGGAGACTCCAGAAGGTGGCAGCTTTCAGCCCTTTTCCTCCTCGCTTGTCATAGCCCTCCCCTTGTCTGGGACCGTTTAATTACTGTCTGAGCTGGACCAGCTCCTTCGCCCCTCCTCTCATCCCTCTCCCCGCCCCTTTCTCCAACCTTCCCGCCCCTTTCTCCTTCCCCTTTCTCCAGCCCTCCCGCCCCTTTCTCCTTCCCCTTTCTCCAGCCCTCCCGCCCCTTTCTCCGGCCCTCCCTCCCACCCATTTCTCCCGCCCCTTTCTCCAGCCCTCCCCCCGCCCCTTTCTCCGGTCCCTTTCTCCAGCCCTCCCACCCCTTTCTCTGACCCTCCCTCCCCGCCCATTTCTCAGGCCCCTTTCTCCGACCCTCCCCCCGCCACTTTCTCCGGCCCTCCGCCCCTCCCCCTGCCACTTTCTCCGGCCCTCCCCCCCACCCCTTTCTCCGCCCCTCCCCCCGCCCCTTTCTCCGGCCCTCCCTCCCGCCCATTTCTCCGGCACCTTTCTCCGACCCTCCCCCCACCACTTTCTCCGACCCTCCCCCCACCACTTTCTCCGACCCTCTCCCCGCCCCTTTCTCCGGCCCTCCCTCCCGCCCATTTCTCCGGCACCTTTCTCCAACCCTCCCCCCACCACTTTCTCCAGCCCTCCCACCCCTTTCTCCGGCCCGCCTCCTCTAACCTTTTATGTAGCTGTTGGGGGGAGGAATGAAGGAGAATACAATGATTTCTCCTGGGGGTGCTGACCTCACTTCCAAGATGGCGGCCCCCAGCACCAGTCTCGTGGCTTTGGGGTGTCGACACAAAGGGGGACTTTCTGTGGAAATCACATATAATATATTCGTTGTCCAAACAGTCCTATAAATGAGGAATGTTCTGGTGACGGGTCTCCGGGTTACACATATTGGAAGAGTTGTTTTTTGGTGAATGGAGTTTGACTTGAAGACTCCTCACTCTAGGTAGGGGTAACGTCTTCATTGGTGGTCACCCCATCCCCCATGGTTTGCGGTTCAAGTACAAAGACTTCTATTGCCTGCCATGAGGAAGTGCACCTTGGGGACCAAATGTCCAGGCTGTTCATTCTCAGGTTCCAGTCCTGGGTGGACTTTGTAGGATAATGGGGAGATATCATTGTCAGGTTCCAGTCCAGGGTGGACTTTGTAGGATAATGGGGAGATATCATTGTCAGGTTCCAGTCCTGGGTGGACTTTGTAGGATAATGGGGAGATATCATTGTCAGGTTCCAGTCCTGGGTGGACTTTGTAGGATAATGGGGAGATATTCTCAGGTTCCAGTCCTGGGTGGACTTTGTAGGATAATGGGGAGATATTCTCAGGTTCCAGTCCTGGGTGGACTTTGTAGGATAATGGGGAGATATTCTCAGGTTCTAGTCCTGGGTGGACTTTGTAGGACATGGGGAGATATTCTCAGGTTCCAGTCCTGGGTGGACTTTGTAGGATAATGGGGAGATATTCTCAGGTTCCAGTCCTGGGTGGACTTTGTAGGACATGGGGAGATATCACGAAGGGTTGTGAAGATTTGTGCTCCTCGGGTTGGCTGGGATGACTCGGTAACATCCTATTTGGTTTCCTCAGAATGAAGTGCCTTCTGACAACCAAGGACGCTTGGACTCTGAGGGACTGGCATCACCGACCGAGTGCCGCACACCGGAGAAGATGGAGCTGCTGGCTGTGGACGCAACTTGTGACCAGGCCAAGTAAGATTACACAGTCCACCGACTGCGACTACACAGTCCACCAACTGCGATTCCACAGTCCACCAACTCAGATTACACAGACCACCAACTGCGATTACACAGACCACCAACTGCGATTACACAGACCACCAACTGCGATTACACAGACCACCAACTGCGATTACACAGACCACCGACTAATATTACACAGTCCACCAACTCAGATTACACAGACCACCAACTGCGATTACACAGTCCACCAACTAAGACTACACAGTCCACCAACTAAGACTACACAGTCCCCCAACTAAGACTACACAGTCCACCAACTAAGACTACACAGTCCACCAACTAAGACTACACAGTCCCCCAACTAAGACTACACAGTCCACCAACTAAGACTACACAGTCCACCAACTAAGACTACACAGTCCACCAACTAAGATTACACAGTCCACCAACTAAGACTACACAGTCCACCAACTAAGACTACACAGTCCCCCAACTAAGACTACACAGTCCACCAACTAAGACTACACAGTCCCCCAACTAAGACTACACAGTCCACCAACTAAGACTACACAGTCCACCAACTAAGACTACACAGTCCACCAACTAAGATTACACAGACCACCAACTAAGATTACACAGTCCACCAACTAAGATTCCACAGTCCACCAACTCAGATTCCACAGTCCACCAACTCAGATTCCACAGTCCACCAACTCAGATTACACAGTCCACCAACTAAGACTACACAGTCCACCAACTAAGATTACACAGACCACCAACTAAGATTACACAGTCCACCAACTAAGATTCCACAGTCCACCAACTCAGATTCCACAGTCCACCAACTCAGATTCCACAGTCCACCAACTCAGATTACACAGTCCACCGACTAAGACTACACAGTCCACCAACTAAGATTACACAGACCACCAACTAAGATTACACAGTCCACCAACTAAGATTCCACAGTCCACCAACTCAGATTCCACAGTCCACCAACTCAGATTCCACAGTCCACCAACTCAGATTACACAGTCCACCGACTAAGACTACACAGTCCACCGACTAAGACTTCACAGTCCACCGACTAAGATTACACAGTCCACCGACTAAGATTCCACAGTCCACCAACTGCGATTCCACAGTCCACCAACTGCGATTCCACAGTCCACCAACTGCGATTCCACAGTCCACCAACTGCGATTCCACAGTCCACCAACTAAGACTACACAGTCCACCAACTAAGACTTCACAGTCCACCAACTAAGACTTCACAGTCCACCAACTGAGACTACACAGTCCACCGACTAAGACTTCACAGTCCACCGACTAAGATTACACAGTCCACCGACTAAGATTCCACAGTCCACCAACTGCGATTCCACAGTCCACCAACTGCGATTCCACAGTCCACCAACTGCGATTCCACAGTCCACCAACTGCGATTCCACAGTCCACCAACTAAGACTACACAGTCCACCAACTAAGACTACACAGTCCACCAACTGAGACTTCACAGTCCCCCAACTAAGACTACACAGTCCCCCAACTAAGACTACACAGTCCCCCAACTAAGACTACACAGTCCACCAACTCAGATTCCACAGTCCACCAACTCAGATTCCACAGTCCACCAACTAAGATTACACAGTCCACCAAGTACAAGAAACGTTTAAGCCGAACTCCAGCCAAACTGTCTTCTGTTTCTTTCAGTTTTGGAAAGATTGGGGGAAAGTTAACATTTTATCAGGTTTCTGTCTCTCGGTTTTCCCTGTTGGGTAAATTTTCCTTCAGTTCCTGTCCTTATGACACCTACAAGAGAAATGGGTAGAAGGGGTTGTCACTGGACTGGACTGGAAAACACGAACTGCCATAAAAACAGTCAGAAGTTCGAACCTTTCTTCATTCTACTAAAACCCGCCTGGTCTGTGTTCCCGTTGGAGGGATTTCCTATCACTTCCTGTTCTGACAGGAAGTGCGGGAAAATTTCCTCAAACACTAGATTTGAACCCTTTTCTGTTTTCATTTTTGGCTGGACCTGGGCGTATTTTTCATAGACTGCTTTCTATAATGTTTCTTGCAGGTCATGTTTGTGAAGCAGTATGGGCCTTAGAGTATTAACTGGCCCAGTGTTCAGAAAAGAACTGTCAAAAGTCCTGCGTAACAAGGTAATGGAACTCTATAAAGATGGAAAAGGACATAAAAAGATATCCAAAGCCTTGAATATGCCAATCAGTGCTGTTAGATCACCTATTAAGAAGTGGAAAGTTCGGGGATCTCTGGATACCAAGCCAAGGTCAAGGATACCAAGAAAGATTGCAGCCACAACTGCCAGAAGAATTGTCCGGGATTCAAGGCTTTGGACATCTTTTATGTCCTTTTCCATCTTTATAAAGTTCCATTACCTTGTTACGCAGGTCTTTTGACAGTTCTTTTCTGAACACTAATTGCAATTTAAAAAGCCACAGATGTGGGACATTAACCTCTAATTGGCATTTTAACCCATGTGTGTCCCCTTGTGTGCCTGTACCAAGGCCGAACATTCCAGGGGGCGGAGACTTCTGATCCTGAGGGTGGAGACTTCTGATCCGGGGGGTGGAGACTTCTGATCCGGGGGGCGGAGACGTCTGATCCTGGGGGTGGAGACTTCTGATCCTGGGGGCGGAGACGTCTGATCCTGGGGGCGGAGACGTCTGATCCTGGGGGCGGAGACGTCTGATCCTGGGGGCGGAGACGTCTGATCCTGAGGGCGGAGACGTCTGATCCTGGGGGCGGAGACGTCTGATCCTGGGGGCGGAGACGTCTGATCCTGGGGGCGGAGACGTCTGATCCTGGGGGCGGAGACGTCTGATCCTGGGGGCGGGGGACGTCTGATCCTGGGGGCGGAGACGTCTGATGCGGGCCATTTGGGTGATTTCTGTTATTAGGATTTAAAAAGGAGCCAAACAACTCTGTGATAAATGGTGTCATGTGATCATCATCCTCCAATAAAAGACCATTTTGTGGCAGATCCGTCATATGTTCAATATCAATGCCACAATTTCTGCCGGGGGAGGGAGACTTTTGAGCACAACTGTATATTGTACCTTCCCATCAGGCCCCGCCCTTAGGACCGCCTCTAAATGCATTTCCCCGGAAGGGGTCCCCCTGTCGGTCATCACCAAGTGACGCAGAGTTCAGTACTGACGTGTATTCCAGGTACTACGGAGCTCATTCATGACTTCACCTGTTTCATAGGATATTATTTTGTATCCATTCAAGCCCTGATGAATGGGGAGCTCCGCCCCCTGAAACGCGTTGGATAAACATACAGAACCGGCGTGGTGAGCCTTCGTTTGGACTAAATAGGTTGTGACTTCCAGCATCCTGGTCCTGTCTTTATTTCAGGTACTTATATATCGCCGTCAATGTACTCCGCGCTTTACATATATATTGTACATTCACATCAGGCCCCCGCCCCTGAGGAGCGTACAATCTAAGGTCCCTAACTCACATTCATACATACACATACTAGGGACAATATAGACAGGAGCCAATTCACCTCTCGGCATGTCTTTGGAGTGTGGGAGGAAACCGGAGTCCCCGGAGGAAACCCACGCAGGCACAGGGAGAACATGCAAACTCCAGGCAGGTGGTGCTGTGGTTTGGATTCAAACCGACGACCCGAGTACTGCCAGGGGGAAGTGCCAACCATTTAGCCGCTGTGCTGCTGTTTTAATATTTTTCATTAGTCGTTTTCGGGGTGTACTTGTTCTAATTTCTGCGATGTTTTGGGGGTGAATGGATGGTGAATGGATGAACTGATCGCCCTCCTGTATAATGGTGTTGAAGGAACAGATGACTGGTTTGTAGTTTTGGTGTCGCTGACCTTTTGTGGTCTTAGGCCGGGCCGATGTCTCCACTTCACAGGTCTGACCCAACCGCCATCCCCGTAAGAAATGGAACACACATTCTGGCCGCACCACATTTCCCTCCGCCGATAACCCGTTCTATTTCTGGTGGCTCATTCCACTCCGTGGGTTTTTGTTTTTGTTGTTTTTTTTTTTTTTTTTTTGCTGCACGTTCGTTTATCCTTTTTGAGAAACCAGATTTCTAAAAATAACCACGGCCCGCGCGTCGGGGGCCACGTACCAGTGTAACGCGGTGGAAATCTACTCATTACATTCTGTAGGCGTCAGCCTGCGGTGCGGGTCGTTCTACACGAGACGCATTCAGCAGGATGCGTACAAAGCTGTGTGCCGTCAGTGTGCAGTCAGTGTGCCGTCAGTGTGCCGTCAGTGTGCAGTCAGTGTGCCGGGCATCAGACTCCTGCAATGGGGCGACCGTCCTCTTTTTTTTTTTTTTTTTTTTTTTTTTTTTTTTTTATATTTTATCATCCGTATAAATATTACAATTTCCATTTACTCCAACATTCTCCAATCTATATATGGAAACATTTCCCCATCTCCCTCCCTTCAACCCCCCCCCCCCCTTACCAGTGGTCCCCCCCTATTTCCATAGACGGCTCGCAAACCGGGTGTATTTTCATCCGGTAAACGAAAAATCGGTCGTTCGTTAAACGAATGTGACCACCAATGATTACGAGAATCGTCCGACCAAGTCGTAAAAATCATGACATATCACAGGAAATATCAGGTCGCGGCTCATGCGCATATCTTTTTTTGTATAAACGATCGTACGATTTGACCATCATTGCCGTGAAAATCGGTTGTTTTTCACAAGTTTTCCAACATGACCGATAATCCAAACGTGGAAAAAAACACGAAAACCGGCCGACGAATTAACCCACCAACAGTGCGAAAAAACCGACCGATTAATCTTTCGGATGAAAAATCGTCTGATTTCTGAAGCGTCTATGGCCGCCATTATTTCCCGTCCTTTATCCTTCCTTTCCGATATTTATATTAATCAGTTCAGTGGGGTCACTTACCTGTCCTAAGCCCCGGAGGTATGAGCGGCACCATGGAGTCTGCGGGGTATAGACTCTCCTCTTTAACCGCCTGTCTACT